TGTTATTACGATAAGAATCTAATTGCATCATAAATATTTATTCCTCAATTGTTGCAAGAAAACATAGATTTTGTGCGCAAGATCATGATCATTATTTCCCTTAATCCCCATATTTTACTCGAAATAATTCAAACATAATGTCTTTCATAGATAAAATGCAAAATATATTTCTTTTCTAAAAGTACATAACTTTTCAAAATTCATACAATTTTGCAATTGCTAAAATTAAATTTAAGTAATTTTAAAGTTAAATATTGAATATGTTTAACTTTAAATTATCAAATATTTAATTAAATTTTAATAATTTAATTAAATACTTAATATATTAAATTTTAATTTATTTAATTAAATTATTAAATATTTAATGTTAAATAAAATATTAAATCTTAAATATTTTAGCCACAATAGTCATTGGAACATTAACTTAATACAAGCAAGAGATTATTCAATCTATTGCTTGTATTAAGTTAATCTATTGTTTTTGACTTTATTTTGGAATGCATTTTAAAATCTAGGTTTAGAAATAATTTACCTTTTCAATATGAATTCTTTTGAAAGTTTCCAAAAGTTCTTTAATAACTTTGTTCCTTTTGAAGGTGTTGAAATACTAGTTCAGAGCCTTTTAAAAAGTTCTTTTCTTACGGCCATGCACTCTAAAACTAAATGAGTTAGCCACATTAGCAAAGCTTTGATAAAGTTAGACTGAGCTCCAACGAAATTTTTAAAATCTCTTCGCGCATTTTTGTTAACATTAATGTTGAGTCTCTCCTTAAGAAGCAAACCAAATGCTGCCCCCAAGGGTTATGTGCGGGATCTGATCTGTGGACGAAACCTTTAACTCCCTCCTTAAATTACAGTATTATCCACATACAAAGTTATAGCCTTTGCGGATCACGCAACATTTGTGCTTAAAGAAAGAACAAGGGATGAGTTTCACCAATTTAGTAACCAGACAATAGAGTTGTTTGTCACTTTATGAAAATGAAAGCACCTTTCTATATCAGAGACCAAGTACCTGGTGATTCACAAACCAGGACAGACAATAATTCGAAATCCAATGATCAAACTGCGTGGAAGGGTAATAAAACAAGTGAGAACACCCAAACTCCTAGGATTAACAATCGACGATAAGCTCACCTGGATCCTGCACCTACAGGCTGACTAAAGATTCTAATAACAAGAAATCTACAGAGTATGCAGGGCACGGATTGGAGGCTCAGTCCGCATATCCTGAAAATTCTTTACAACACAGTAATAGAAATTGGTCACACACGCTGCTGCGGTCTGGGATTGTTACTTATGTTGACAATACTCCGAAATATTTCTGAAACTGTAAACTTAAATTATTTATGAAATTAGATATTTTATAAAATTTAACTTCCTTAATTTATATGTTGCATTATTTTTGCATATATTAAGCACTGAAGGTGCACTACTTCTAATTCTCATCATTAATGTTTTCCAGGTGCATCCATGAAGTATCATTTCAACTGAAAAATATAAATTTAATAACCTTCATTTTGCCATTACAGAAGTATTCCATATCCTTTGTGTAATTTAAATGAAAATAAAGTGCTTGGAAGGAAAATTTTGAAGTTTATTTTATGCATATCAAATAGTAAAATAATTTTATTGTCAGAAATCAGAACGTAAAAACAAATCATTAACAGATTATTAATAAAAACGAACATTATTGTAAAATATCCCAAAAAGAAAAATAAAAGAGTAAAATGACTTCGTAGTAGTTAATTGTAATAAACGGGGTTCTTTAGTAAAAGTGAAACGTAGTCTTGAAATTTCGCTTTAGAACAAGGATTTTATATCAGTATAGAAGAAATTGATAAATTTTCTGTCATTAATCAATGATATCCTTTTGATTGTGCTTTAAACTTTTTGTTTTAAAATCACCAGGGAAACTATTTAATGTAGTGAATTAGTTTTCTAGAAGTCTCCCACATTCATCAAACTCTGTCAGTTTTAATTAATGATTCAACTTTTAAAGACTATCGAAAATTTTTTATTCTTGTCAAACAATGCATTAACTACGCTTTCGGTTTTTTTATTTATTATTTTTACATCACAAAACGCTAAACATGACTTGTATAGTTAAAGTAATAAAAGTTTGAACACTACAATTTTCTTTTAGATGAAGAGTGATCTATGTGTGCAATCTTTCGAAATTAATACAGAAGGTGAATTTCATCAATCATTTTAATTCTGAACAATTTACTATTCAGTCATTAAAGATTAGCGAATTTAATTGGAAAATTTTTACAGCTTTAATTTTTTTCCCACACAAAAGTGATGATAAATTACAATAATCTCAAACTTTGGCTTAATTTCCGAATTATAAAAAACTGTACATTACATATGCAGTGTAAGCTGTTATAATTTTTTAAATTTATTATAAGCATGGGATAAATCTAAATCAAAATTGCAGCCATAAAAGTTTGTCAAAATACAGAGTGTCCCAGAAGTCTGCGCACATTTTGAGGAATTAAATAAAATCAACAAATTGAAGGATCAGAGTAAGATATATATATATATATATATATATATATATATATAAGTAAAAACATTTTTAAATATATATTATGTATATATATAACTTGCACTTAATATTTTTCACAGAAGTAGATTTTCTTTCTGGCTTAAGTTACATTTTAGTTCAAAATGATTCTAAGAGATAGGGCTGGTACCAGAGTGCAATAATAGAATGAGATAAAGTTATTATACAACATTTATTCTTTTGAGCATATTACAATACTACTAAAAACGTAGTTGTGAGTCTTAAGTTTCCAATTATTCCTCTTGTTGTAAAAAAATTAAATTTCCACAGTTTTTGTATCTGTACGACATTTATCAGTGAAAATATGAAATAAAATTTAACTTGTTCTACTTTCATCCCTCAGAAAAAACATCAAATTTTTGTGGTAAATCTATAGTTGCCAAGCATACTCTGAGATGCCAATTTGTTGATATCACATGTTTTTTAAAAATGTGTTCAACATACTGTATTAAAAATAATAGATTGCTTAATTGATTATTTCCGTACACAAATGAGAAATGTAGTTTTGCTATCCAAAAGGAAAATTAAATATTGTATGCCATCTAGGCCGGAATTATTTGTGCCGAAATTTACATAAATTCTTCCGTTCCCCAAATGAAATGGATGACATGGGTCGACGGTGTTTAAAAACATAACAATAAGCAAGAAACGGAAATACTACACACTGGGGCATTTTTATCAAAGTTAACATTCATATCTTTTACGAATCAAAATAAAACAAGAATATTGTTTAGTTTTTACAAATTTAAATTAATTTAGGATTAAGATTTGCAAGTAGATTCTAAAGTGCTAAGTCGGGTTTATGCAAAGCGTTAAGTTTCAAACCCCTCTTATTAAATTTTAATTGAACCCAAGAAACTGATTCTTCTTATTAAATTTAAAGTAAACACATAATATGAAGGTAGAGAATATTAATAAAGAAATATTGAGGAATAAATGGTAGTTGAATATTTTTCATACAGGGAGAAGGATCCATAACCCATTTTAACCCATAAAATATGTGATAAATTTGTCCAGCAACAGGAAACGTTTGTTCGAATATTTTAGTACAGAAAACGCAATCGTACTCGATGTGATATGCACGCCTACCTGAACATTAATGAATTTCAGTACTGAATTTTTCGAAAAAAATGGTGTGATGTTCGTTGTTCAGGAATTATTATTTTTACAAGATATACTTGCGGTTTTGCTTAACTATCGATTGGGAAACATTACCTAAAGTATTATAAAATTTAAAGAAAGGATTTGGCTAAAAAATGTTGGCACATTGAAATACAATACATTTTAATTTTAATAAATTTTTAATACGCACCTACTTATCGTACTTTTAAATACCTTAAATAAACGATCTATTTATAAATGGATATTTCTGTGGAATGTTATATAGAGAAAATATATCCCATTTTAATATATAAATGGTTCTAGGAAACATATATATATATATAATGGACAATGAGTACAATAGATGTAGCTGTAATAAAAGATATTATAAATGATTGCTCATTAGAAATGAAATCTGAAATGAAATGGAAAAACAATATTTATTTATAGTAATTTTCTCCAAATGGCCGGAAGTATACTTTAACTTTAAATGAACAATTGCATCGCAACTGAGAGAAGAGATTCTAGAAAAAACCAATGGGTTTCAGCAATATTTTCGATCGTGTTAGAGCGCTGCGTCTTCGAATTCTACAATATTTAAAATAAGATGCTGAAATTTTTCTGTTGACCAATTTTCTCAACAAAATAATTAAAGCATCGCTGATTGGTTGTGAAAATTTCAAATGCGAAATGACATCAAGTACTTATGAAAATTTCATTATCTGATCGAAAGAATTTTGAAAAGAAAGCAAACAAATACATGCTGAACACTGTGAAACAAATGCGAAATGAAATGTACCCAATAGACTTGTATAAAGTAAACTTACAACTTTGTATAATGTAAACTTACAGTCACAAGACAAGGAGAGTCTTTGCTCGAAATAGCCTACCCTCGGTTACGATATTATTGTGCATTTCAGATTTATAATTGATGCACATTAATTTCCCAAACATTTATCTGGGAAGGGCGAACACATTGGTCGTTTATCTTTCTTATCACCAGCTAGGTCAGACCAATGTTACAACTAAGAGAAGAGGGAAGGATGTGCACAACAAAAAGCTAAGACTTACATGGGAGTCGGCATCGCACTCAGGAATTCGAAACATCGAAACAGCTGTCAGCTAACGCTAACAAATAGACCATCCATGATGAAGTGTTATTTATAGCCAAAGACGGGATTGCAGTAACTTAATTGAAAAACGTAATCAGTTCGACATAATGAATTTAAACAAAAAGAAATGGTATATATGGGAAATAATTTTATAGAAAGGGAAGACCTCATTAAGTAAGAAATTTTAGTAGTTGTAAGCAGTAGCTCATAAAACAAACAGTATTAGGCACGCTGATATTTAAACCAACAATAAACGTAGATAATAAAATGATTCTCACCGTAGTCTTCTCGAGGCATCTGAGTAGATGGTGGTGCTGCAGTTCGAAGATATCCTCCGGGAAATCGTCGACATCTTGTCCGCTTTCCTGGGCGGCTATCCGAGCTTCGGCAGCTTTCTTTTTGCTGACGAATGCTGCACCACTCGTTGCTTTGGCTATTCGAATGCGGGCCATACGCGCCTTCTGCAAATGAAAGAAGATAATACATGAAATAATATTATAACAGAAAGCAAATAAAAAATTTACTCGAATGAAATAACTACATAGTTTATTAAGTTTTATTGACTCTTCACTAGTCAAATTCAAATATTCAAAAAGCGAATACTGAATGGAATATTCTTAAAATAAGTCTAACAGAATATTGGAAGGCATCCTCAATAGCAAATAAGGCTCTACGCAGTATTCATAGAACTAATAACGTAAATAAGACATTTCCTTGTGATTAAAGGAATAAAATGGTTGTATACTACATGGAGCAATTTGATTATGTATGACACATATGCAGCGTAGACTTAAGGAAATCCTTTTCGGAAGACTACTAGGTAGTAATTCGTTCTTTATAATAAGACAAAAAAAAAAAAAAAAAAAAAAAAAAAAAAAAAAAAACCTTATTACCAGTAACAGCAGATATAACTGAACATTAAGATGACAGGCATGGTACAAATTAATGATAAAATTGGGTTATCTGCGCAGTTATTCCAAATTTGCGAAAATAACTTTACATAATGTAATTTCGCTGAACACTATATACCACGAGGCTTACAAAGTAAGTTATGCACTAATAAAATAAATAAACAAATACACAATAACACTGAAAATGGGGAAAATGAATTTAAAAAAATAAATAAAAGTATTAAATAAATAAAATAATATTTAGGAAAAAAAAAAAAAAACTGAAAGCTTTCAGATTTTATATTACTCTCAAAGGCGCGTTTTTTTAACGTTTTATGTGTTACCTTTATTTATTAAATATCATGTTCTTCACACTTAAACCATAAAATTCATTTCAACATCAATATCACAAAATATTTAAAAGAGCATATCTTTAGAATTTCCGATATACAGTTTCTCATACGAGATAAAAATGTTTTTGTTTTTCGAACAGTGTTGCTATTACTCGCTTTGAATTGTCGAGTTTGTTAGTTAAAAGTTCGTTAAAGTTTTACAAAATGTGAAATAGACAATCAACAAATTCCACTTTCCAAATCTGAGCTATCAGATGCCCATATTGGAGTGGAGGACTCCTTATTCAAAGTTTGATGTCTCTAGGTGCCGTTATTTTTTCACAATGCGAAAAGCGTACATAGAGTCGTGCATATTCTTCATTATTTAATTTCTTTAGCAGGTATCTAATATTTGGTGGCAACAATCTGAAAAGTGAAACGCCGTTTATAGCTAAACGCTGCAAAATGACAAACGAAATTAATTGCCCTTCTGGGCTAACAGCCCTTTGGGTAAAAACAAAAGAAAATGAAAAGTAATAAAATAAAGAGTACTCAAGAATCTACATTGAGAATGAAATTCCGAGTGAAAAAGGATGATTCGAAAATGTTATCTTAATTGCAATTCGGCAGATGCAAAAGTGAAAGTGATTTTTTACTATTCTGTGTAGTTTCTGATTAGCTTTTCTCTAAATAAACTGAGCATTAATCTTTAAAAGTATATGTTTCTTTTAATAGCAAAGCAAGGAAGTTACCCGACGATACGAAGATTATCTCTGACAAAGGTCCCATAATGAGGCATACGTTAATAATAATAAATACATTAAGATTTCTAGTAATGCTTCCTCGATATAAGTCTTGTTTATATATTTTTTTAATCTTAAAATGTCCTAAATTTATAAGGACAGTGTAACACGTCGTAATGAATAATAATCTATGTTCATTACGACGCGTTATACTGAAACACATAGAAATGTAGAAAATTCTTTCCTTATGCTGATTCATTAACACTACTGCAATAAAATGATTTTATCTATCGATAAATCGTAACATAATGATCTGAACCGTAGAATGATCTATTTAATTGAAAGGTAAGCATTTTTCTGCTATAAAATTCGAAGAAAACGTTTTAACGAAATAGCCAATATGAAGGCATTTCAGATGAAGTTAACCTGAATACAAATATAGAGACACAATTGATGCATATCAACGAAAAATCTTTCGTGAATATATTCAGATATTTTAGCAGAAAATCAGCAGTTATCAGAAATCATTTAAATAACTGTTTTTACTTCCTTGTACGAAGTAAAAAGAAAGTATTGTAATCGCGAAAAGTTTCAGGCAGCATATTTCAACGAAAATATCCATTTTGACCGCTATCGAATGCAATTTAACGATATTTTTGCGTCGTATCTGTACGTAAGGACAGAATAAAATCCTTTTTTTTTTCAAAAAAATTATAAAACTGCTTTAAAATTAATTCTGAAGAGAATTTTTCGTGGCGTCCTCCCCTTAGGCAGATAGCCCTCGAGGCTTTGCTGTAATTAAAATAACCTAACCTAACCTAATATTATTTTAATTTAACCAAATTAAGATACTATTCGGTTTTGAGGGCCATAAAAAATCGCCAAACTATTGTTGATGCCAGTGCTGCCAAACATAATTGCGCAATCCTAATGCAAGAAAGGAAGTATAATAGTAAATAACTATTTAAGATTCATGTTTTAATTTAGATGAGAGGTTAATTTCATATCATACTTTTTTATTATTATAGTTTATATAAAAAAGGCTAAACATGACTGAATGAAAGCATAAGAGTAAATAACTATTTCAGATCATTATTATAATTTATATATATAACAATTGCTAAACATAACTGAATGGATGCCTGCATCGTTATTTCGCTACCGACTTATCGCTAAAGCATAATTTCATCTCGTTGGTTGTTCAAACGTAATTTTCCTATAATGAATGATGCCCTTTTCTTTGAAAATATTCTCGGTAAAGTACAGAATCGCTCACTTATTTGCTTGCCGCTTTTTACAAGGGTAAAAATAATTGGATTTTTGTCAGTTGTTTACTTTTTAAGTGAAAATAGGTCGATGTGTACATAGATAAAGGGTGTGCACAGTGCCATTTTTGTGCAATTCTAGGATTTTTTTTTAAAGTGAAAATAGGTCGATGTGCACATGGATACCGAGTATGTGCAATTCTTAAAAACGCGTAAAGCAGTGGGGGATTCTGCACTTTACCAAAATTCTATTACCGACTTTTCGTCATGGGCAATTCCCAAATTGTTAAATCCATAGGATATCAAAAAAGGATTTAAAATCAAAAAAAGATTTAAAAATTAAACTAGTATTTCAATGGCGTTTTAAGAAATATAGAACTATATAAACTTACGCAATCTGAAATCAGCGCGTACGCTAGATTTTGCGCGCTGTTAAATGAGCGCGTTTGCTAGATTTGGCGCTTTTGCGTATACATTTTCGCTGCAATTTGTTTACGGCCCTCAAAACAGAATAATAATAATTAGTTTTTAAAGAATTTAAGCTGTTCTTAATTACTTAATATATTATAAAGAAATATGATTATAAGTACATGCTTAAAACCTCTATTAACATTATTTTTATAAGCGTTTTTTAAGAGCATGATTATAACTTTAAAAGACATGTTTTTTCTTTATTTAGGAGATATGGTTTACATGTGCAAAGAGGAAAACCATTCATTTTTAACAAGCAGTCGAAACGAATTTTTATGAAATGTTATATTGTGTTATTTTTTAATTAATTCTTTTTTCAGGTTTTTATGTAAAGTTTATGAATTAAGTAATAAATTATTTTTACTTCTGTATTTTAATTAGCATATTATTTGCTTCATAGTGTTTCACAATAAAATTATAAATTCAATAAACTTTCTTAATTAACATGCTGTAATATAGGCATAAATATAGGCATAATAGGGCATAAAGTTTGTTTTCTGTTGTCACATGTATATTTCACAATTTTGCATGCAAATCTCTAAATTTATAAAAACTAAGAATACTTTTTTACTTTATAATACTAAATGGTCAATATTAAGCTTAGATGTATTACATATCATGTTTTAAAAAATTACAGGTAAAATTAAAATGCATTAAATTTTAAGCCAAACTGAAGTATTAATTTTTTAAACAAACCTGTTAAAGGCATAATTGTATTAAGTATTAAGAATTTTAATGGAAGCAAGGCTTTACAAATTAAGGTTAGTTGTTGAAGTTTTATGCTTATTCAAAAAGCATGACATTAGGGTTTTAATGAAAGACTATTATTTTTAATGAAAGACTATTATTTGAATCTATTAATTCAAAGGAAATTATTTGAAGGTAAAGTAAAAACGTTCATCTATTATTTCAAACAATAGCAGACTGTTGACAAACACTGAGTGCAGATAAGAATAAAAAGATTAGTTGAACGTTGTAATTCAAGCATATGAACAAAATTTTGAATTCCTTGTAGTAACAAAAGGAGTTCATTGCTATGTTGAATTCTTTAATTTACTGAAAATGTCATTTTTTAGAAGGAGAGAATATAATATTTTTTAAACATGAAGAACAGCTGTTCTGAGTTCTTCATAGAAATATTTCCCAAAGTGTCTTTTACTGTAATAATATGATCATATCAACATGCAACACGTTTACTCATATAAGTTAAATCTAAAGCAACATGTTTTTATTTTAGCAAAAATTACTAAAAAGGAAGTTCTAGAACATATCTTATTAATTTACACAATTTACACTAAAACATGCGAATAAAACATACTGTTTTTGTTTTCAGCTGTTTTACATGGCAAATATAAATTCCAGATGCCTTTCGATTATTTTATGTAAAGGTATTATTTTAAATATGTTATAACATGTGATTTAATGTAAGGAGTAGCATATCAATTTGAACTTTTAAATTAATCAAAATGATAATATGAAAGGCCTTTCAATAATATCAGACATAAGTTTCTATTTATAAAACAAAAATACTCTGAAACAGAATAATGTTTCTGTTTGAAAAAGAACATTGAATGCTGTTGAAAGCACATCTTTAAATTAATGCTTTTCTGAGGTCATATTGGCTAATTTATAAAGCTAAACTATTATGATTCACTTGCATATATCTGTATGTATTTATATATATCTGTATGTATATATATATATACATACAGATATCATTCTTTTACTCAAAACATATTGATTTCAATATATTTAATTAT